TCAGATCTCATCACACACTTTCTGAAAGTAGCCATTCAGTTTGTGAAGATCAAGCAGTCACTTGATTAGGAAGGGTGACACTCCATACTGTTCACACACTCACCCCCAGGACACTGATTATTTCCACTATGATGGAATGTGGACTCTTTTAGCGCAGTTAAACTGGGGACAGCAGCCGATAGAAAAGTAACACCAAAGTATCATTCTTTGCTGATTTAATTTTTTCAATTGATGTTTTCTCAACGCAAATCAAATACTGCTGTTTTCTTTTTTAAACAGGAAGGAAGTGGACACTCAGTCAACCCGTTTCTATTTAGTGCGTGTCCCTGCAGCTCATACATGAACGCCCTGAGGACCACTGTTGGTTTTTCCTGGGCTTGCTGCTGTTTCAGCATTCAGCCAGACAGCTATCCAGCCAACTCTTTTGCTTTGGTTCATTGGCGTGTGAGTTATCCTACGGTGATTACACATGACAGGCTGTCAGAAATTGGACCGGGTCAAGCGGAAAGCAGGGATCAGCCACTCATCTGCCCTTCTCCGCCCATTCTAAGCATGCACACAACAATAAAAAAGCGACAGGAAATAGAGGGAACTTCCCCTCGTTCTTTTGACCATTTCTCACTTCTGTTTTTCTTGCTCAAAATGCCTAAGCTTTTTTTTTTAGGGGAATGACACGCATGGCCTAAAATGGTAAAACTGTCTTACCTTACAATAGGGATGTTTCTCTCCATGTGTATTGAATAATTTAAACAGTTTGACACCGAACAAGCTATGGCCATGGCTTCTTTCCACAAAGTGAGAACCTTGGCATGCTGGTGACAAGTTTTTCTAACAGCACACAGATTTATATAAGAATTACAAATGAGACATATCTATAACTTTGTGACAAATAGGCCAAAAAACTGTTAAAAAACACTGCTGTTTTTTTTCTGTATGCTAGGCGCATAAGGAACAAGATGAAAAGCAGAGATGCTGCAGGCCTGAGGTCATGGCACAACATAGTTATAAAAGCCTCTGCAAAGACAAAGCAGCCCTCAGCAACTATGGACACCATATTGAAGGAATCATAGCTGAGCTCACAGGGAACCTCGCATGACATCCATTTGTTTACAAGCAGTTGGTGCTTCAATACTGTCATGTTTCGGTGGGTAGTCACTGGATGTGTTTCTATGCCAATGTCAGAGAAGGCTAAATTAAGCTGGTAAACAGGTGGCAACCTGCCTGCACACCCTGAATATTTTCTCGTACTGCCATGTGTGCATGTGCACACAACTCTATTTGTGTGTTGTGTGAAAGCACAAGTGTGGGGTTTGCCCTAGAATACAACTCACAACATGGAGAGACTGTAGAGAGCAGGGTGTCCTTGACAGGAGTTGTACTTTGTGACATGTGGACTTGCACTTCAATTTCAGACTGAAGCGATACATTAACTCAGATGACATTAAACTACATTAAGAACAAAAATAAAAAGTGAGGCACTAATCTTAAGGCTTTCCTCTCACCTTGAGCTGTGGTTAGTGCCTGCGATCTGCTCACAGGCAGCATTCCCAGATAGTTGAGCACGACATACTTGGTTTCATAATGGAAACCCTCAGGCACAGTGGCAGTGATGGAGGCAGAAGAGGTGGGGCCTGAGGTAGCCATTGAACAGACGTGTGTCAGACTCTCAGGCACATACGTTCTTACAGTCAAAGCTGGACGTCTCACCTGAGGAAAAGCAGAGCCAGAGGAGGGAAATTTATTTCATAAAATGACCATCGTGATCGCTGCACTGTAATCAGTTGTGGACAAAACAGCCATTAACAAAACATGAGGGAACCCACATCAGACTCTGGACAAACCTGCTGATGACATCTGTTGTTGAACTGTAAAACAGCTGTTAGGTGGATGACACATAATAAGTGTTTCACTCAGTGTCATCACAGGCTGTGACCATGGCCACTTGCCCATCTGGCAAAAGGGTAATGGGGCAAAGTGATCACTAAATGCAATTTTTGATGCCACTGGGGCTGCATGACTGCTGACTGAAAACACAAAGGCAACAGACCCAGGACATGTCAGTCTGTTAAATGGGTACATCATGTACCTAGATCATGATACAATATAACTTAGCAGCACACGTGGTGGACAGACGCTCGTGGGAAGTCCTTCAGTGAGAGCTTTTACTACACAAGTGTTGATAGAAATTTAAATGTTGCTGTGCTGTTCAGTTTCCTGTGGGTTTCTTTTCCATACATTAAATATACTCACTGACTGACAAAGGTCTCATCAGCTCACATCGTCCTCCACATATGAGGTGACACCATGCGGACCAAAAGTGAGATTAATGTCAAGTTTGACAAATAAAACAAAACTTCCGGCTTGAGCTGTCAAAATAAAACCCCTTTTTGTCTAATTGAGTTCCCAAACCGAGAAATACCAGAGTTCCAGTGTTTAAATGAAAGATAATATAACGAGTATAGTAATTAATATACATGTTTAGAAGATGCTACTATTGTTCGTTTCCAAAGTGACAGCATAGCTCCAAATGACTGTAGCATAACGTTACACGCTCACATTAAATTAGCACCCACACATATGTCTCATTAGGTCATTAACTACCTAACAAATTGCATAATTGCCTGCCACAGTGTGAAACTCCGTTATTAGTCGTTTTCCCCTGAACACCTCAGCACACATGCAAAGCTACAGCTAGCATAACGTTAACACGTTTAAAGGTGCTATTTCGGAGACGCAAAACTTCATTTGAACTTGAATTGAGCCAAACTGAGGTCAGTGTCTTACCGTCCTTGTCCAGAGGCAACCAGGTGCTGACAGACGACAGGCTGAAGGGAAATATGCGACACAGTCCCCTGCAGCAGTAGCTGAGGAGGGCAGACCACCACTGGCAGGCAGGCAGCAGTAGCACTAGCACAGTGTGTGCTTTGGAGGCTACTCACGCTAGCGGGAATGTACACCGCTAGGCTTCCTGTCATAACTTTCAAAATAACACTCTTATTTTACTTTGCGGGCGGTGTTAGAGCTTTTAAATAAATAACGTAATGTAACGTTACTTCTTCTAAGTGAAAATTGCGAGCGAAACGTTACATGATAATTATAATCACCCTCCCAGAAAGGTGACAGGAGCTCCTGTGTTAGGGACTGTTCCTTACTTATAAGGGGGGTGGTGCAAAATGGCGCCAGCATGTCAAATAATTTTTTAAGTACTGGGGATGGATTTATGTTTTTTTATTTTGCTTAGAGGAGGGGTACACAAATTTATCTGGTTGCATTTTGTATTTATTTTTATCATCGTTTTTAAAAGGAGACATGCCCTCCAAACAACCTGAGTTTAGTGGGCGTTTCTTTAAAATCGCCAAAATTACATCATTTATTAGAGCCAGTAACTATATGGTGGTGCAGTAGTTAGCATTGTTGCCTCACAGCAATTCCTGATTCAAACCCTGGGTGGGGGAGTCCTTCTGTGTAGAGACTGCATGTTCCACCCGTGTCAGCGTGGGTTTTTTCCAGGTACTCCGGCTTCCTCCCACAGTCCAAAGACATGCAGGTTAATTGGTGACTCTAAATTGTCCGTAGGTGTGAATGTGAGCATGAATGGTTGTCTGTCTCTATGTGTTAGCCCTGAGATAGTCTGGCGGCCTGTCCAGGGTGTCCTCTGCCTCTCGACCAATGTCAGCCGGTATAGGCTCCAGCCCCCCCAACAGGATAAGCGGTTACAGAAAATTAATGACTGAATGAATGTAAAAATTGTATTTATTGACTGAGGTCAAATTTATTGAGGTCAAATGCATAACACATTGCTTCATGTGTCAAATACAAAGTGGATACAATGCATAGAGGTTTCTAGCCATGGCTAATTTGCAACCCTGTCCCTGGTTAGACTTTTAGAATTAAAACGGTAAGTGTAAGTGTTGGAGTCATACGTTTGATTTGTGTGAAATGTAATATCCCACCATGCCACTAGGTGGCTTGTGTGGCTGGCTGTTCCTCCCAGGAAGCACAGGTGTTGCTGATGTTAGGATGCAAACCATTTTCGACTGTGCTTGGAGTAAAATTTACATGGTTGTATTTATTGGAAGTTTGTGTTGAAAGTTATTGGAAGTTATACAGACCTTATGGACAATAAAAAATGAACATGATGATTTACAGCACTGATAAAGATTGGGAGTAATTCTCTGAGTACATGTCCAAACAATTCAGCCAATTAGCAATCAGTAGTGACTAAAGTATGGGGCTAGTCACTACAGTAAGGTTACTGAGCATGGAGTATTCAATACAATAATACAACACAACATACAGTATAATACAGACAAAGACTAAGTCAAAGAGAGAGGACCACAATAAAAACAGAGACAAAAAACAATTTACAATAACTATGTTATTTAAGTATGAGGTCTGTGTGTGTTTGTCTCGATTTGTACATGTCCACACATGTATGTCCATGCATTGTGCTTAACACACATGTATGTGCACAGTCAATAGCAGGCTTGCTTCTGTTTCAGCCATTGCTTCACGTGTGTTAAAAACCTTGAGTTCTGTCAGTATTTTAACAAAACAGAAATTATTATTGGATTTTCACATTTCCAACAATCGTTGGACACACTATGTGCGAAGAAAAAAACAACCCACAATTAAAATAGTTGTATTTTATCAAAATCACTTTGTTCACTAACCAGCATGCACAAAACTGAAAAACTGATGCTTTTTTTTACTCCATGTCTTCATCTTACTCTCATTACTTCTAACAACTACAAACATCAAAGGGTGAGTTTTAACCAATTTATCGTGGTGGTGGGATCATGCATTTTCTGCCAGCCACTCTGGGATGCTCAAGGAAAAATATGTGCAGCTTTGGGGAGCCACACCCCCTTCTCTGATAACTAACGAACAGTCCCTTAACTGTTCCCCATTTCAAGGACTTAACCTACTGAATACGCGTCTTATTTTGAAATCTATAACCGGATGTTGTTTTCGGTCTTGTGTCGCTAGCTTGATGTAAATGCAACAAGAAGAGTGAAAGTATTTTCTCCCTACACTTTCTGTAATAACAACAGGACCGTACAAGTGGTCAGGAAGACTTCTTTTTGACGGACTTTCAGTAAACTAAATACATATAAGAAGAAACATGGCGCTCACCGATGCGGACGTACAGAAACAGGTACAGTTGACGGCGTTAGACCACATTACGTTAACATTACGTTATCCCTGAGACAAACATTAGGTTAACGTTATAACTTTTAGCTAAACATAACAACGTTAGCTAACAGGCTAAAAGCAGAACTAGCGTTTCCGTTGCGTGTAGTTGCTCCATTATTATCATGTTAAATTATTTTAGAGGTAACTAAACTCATTAACGGTTAATTTGAGCATGTTTTGACAGAATTGTGAAAGCCGTTGAAACAAACCGTCGGTTAACGTTCACGCTCCCTGTCATAGGAGTTAGTCAGGTTACTCTTAAAGCTTAAGTCTCTGTTTAAATAAGAAAATATCTGTTGTGATTTAAGAATTGATTTGTGCTCACATTAAAAAAGTTGTCATGAGCTTTATGAGACTCCTGAAATAAAACCAATTGTTGTGTGTTTTTCTCTTGTGACAGATCAAGCACATGATGGCCTTCATTGAGCAAGAGGCCAGCGAGAAAGTCGAGGAAATCCATTCCAAGGTGAATGAAGTGTGTCTGTCAGTCTGTCTTGTGATTGCTGCTGCAGGGACCAGTCACTTACAGGCCCTGTCATACCCATCTGTTTACAGGCTGAGGAGGAGTTCAACATCGAGAAGGGTCGTCTGGTGCAGACTCAGAGGGTGAAGATCATGGAGTACTATGAGAAGAAGGAAAAGCAGATTGAGCAACACAAGAAAATGTGAGTAGCTGGTCATTTATAGACAGTTAATGAAAGACTACTGTTGGTCGAGGGGCATTGGTGGTACTTTTTTACACACACAACTGTGAGCAATGCATATACAGTGCATTCCCTTCGAGTCACTATTTACTAGAGGCACCTTCATTGCTTTGCTTCCCACATTTTATGTACAGGCTCTTTATGCTAACGTGAAATGTGTAAGATTTAGGGAAGTTAGTGGCATCTATTGCAAGCTGCAACCAGCTAAAACTTCTCCCTGCTAGAATTCCTTTAGTGTTTATTGTTCAGGAGGTTTTTATTGGAAGCCAAATTATCCGCAGAGGTCTCCTCCTCTTCAAAAAAAATGGACCGGGTGATATAAGCCAATAAAAAACACTGAATAACGCAATTTCACGTTAGAAATCAGTGTTTCTCTGATACTATTTGGCGTCTCTGAGATGAATGGCTTGTCCACCACATGCATTTGTGTGCTCACCTTTTTCTGATCCCAACATTCAGAAGGTTTTCATCAGGAGCTGAATTAACCGCAGAGGACTCCTCCTCTTCAAAACAAATTGACCTGGTGGGTTTAATCGGTTAAAATCCTGAATAAAGCAGTTTCACGTTACAGATCAGTGTATCTCCAATAGGGCTGCCACTAACGATTATTTTCATTGTCGACTAATCTGTCGATTATTTCTTCGATTAGTCGACTAATTATTTCATCGAAAAATGTGTTAAAATGCTGAAAAATGTCAGTCTGTCTCGCTCCAACCCCAAAATTACGTCATCTAATGTCTTGTTTTGTACTCACGCCAAAGGGTTTTAGTTCACTGTCACAGGAGAGTGTGTAAAGCTGCCAATATCTGAATGTAAAAAGCTGCAGTAAGAGTATTTTGGGGTTCTTTTATAGTACTTTTCTATGAAAAATGACTCAAACCGATTAGTCGACTACTAAAATAGTCACCGATTATTTTAATAGTCGATTAGTCATCGATTAGTCGACTAATCGTGGCAGCCCTAATCTCCAACACTGTTCGGCATGTCACTGTGAGCAGCTCGTGGAACACATGCTAATCTGTTGTCACCTTTTTATCTGCTATAACTTAAGATCCAGATGTTGAGGAGGGTTTAAGAGGAAGCTGAATTATCAGCAGAGGTCTCTTCCACTCCAAAGCACACAGACCCAGCAACTGAAACCGATGAAAACAGTAAATAAAGCAGTTTCACGTTACAAATCAGTGCAACACTGATGCAACGCAACACAAATGGCTCTATCTGGAGCCAGTGGTTTGTCCATTCTGGGCTACTGTAGAAACATGGCAGTGCAACTCACTCTCTTTATAGATATAAATGGTTCATTTTAAGGTGACAAAAAAACAAATCTCCTTATTTTCAGGTGATCATACACTAAAGTAAACATACTAATTAAATCATAGTCCATTTCTGCCAACATATCCTCCCTAAATCCTACACACTGGGCCTTTTAATGAGATAGACAGTCTTGACTTGTCTTCTGATGGACTGAGAGGCAAGCGTCAACAGATTTAATTAGTTCTTAGTCACTTTGTTGCTTTGCTTGTTGTGCAGAGTTTTTCTTTGCTGTCTCCTTGTACCCTCAGCTCTGGTTGCCTTGGTAAAATCAGTTTGTCCTCATCACAGTTCAGTGTAAATAAATATTTGTAACTGCATCACCTTCCTGGGCATGAATGTCACCATATCTGTATCGTAAAAACCTCATAAGAAGGCGTCTTAAAATCAGTGTATCATGAGAGCTGGGTGAACAGCTGCTTTATAGGCGTGGTGCATTACATGTTCATGCCTGCAGATAATATATTCATTGACTTTTCCTTCCTCTCTCACAGCCAGATGTCCAACCTGATGAACCAAGCAAGGCTTAAGGTGCTGAAGGCCCGTGACGACATGATCGCCGTAAGAGATAAACACTCGTTTTTTAAAACATATTCACATATTCAGCTCATGTTACACAGTTGAAACATAACTTTCTCATGCTTCCACTTAGTATGTTGATAAATGCATATAATATTTACGACTACGATTAGGTGCATGAGTGCTTATGTTTTGCCCTATTCACCATCACTGAATTACATTCCTCCACTGCAATACAATGAAAGTAAAGGGATAATAATAATTTTAAGTCATCTGAATGAACCAGTGAAATCTCTGTTTTCTACCTGTGTTCTTGTCTCAGGATTTGTTGCATGAGGCTCGTCAAAGACTTGCAGAGATTGCCAAGGACCCTGCTAATTACTCCATCCTATTGGAGGGCATGGTGCTTCAGGTAAAATCCCCCAAGTGCTCTTGTGGGAGGGTACGGGTAAATGTGATTGGTGTGTTGGTTCTCTCTGTTTTCTAAGTGTGTGCTTTTCACTTCTCAGGGATTCTTTCAACTACTTGAACCCAAAGTTACCATTCGCTGCCGACAGCAGGATGTAGAAATGGTTCAGGTGAGGTGACTGTAGTGTTGCATGTTGTGACTATTCTAAGTTATTTAGAAAAGAGTAAGTAATTACAAGTGCCTCTGCATTTTTTGTTGAAATCATTATAGTTGGTTGTGTTGTCTGTTACAAGACTTTGTTTTATTGCTTGACAGGCTGCCGTTAATAAGGTCGTCCCTATCTACAAAGAGGCAGTGAAGAGTAACATCATCGTCAAAATCGACCAGGAGCGCTTTCTCCCGTCAGAGATGTAAGATGATTTTAATGTATTTTGACATCAATTCTTTATCTTTGATTTTAAATATACTATCAGATTACTTTTTTTGTGCTGGCTCTGATTGAAAAATGAGAAGACAGGGCATATATAAGCTGAATTTGGTTCCCTCATGTGTGCAATAACTCTTTGTTTGAACAGCTGCGGAGGAGTTGAAGTGTATAATGATAATGGGAAGATCAAGGTTTCCAACACTTTGGAGAACAGGCTTGATCTTATTGCACAACAGGTAGAGTAACTTTTATAATATACTGTATTTAAAAATCCCAAATCTTTATGCACACAACTTTCTAACACTGTAAATGTAGTTTCTGCTGTTTGCCTGTGGAGGGCAGCACAGCCCATTTAGTTTCCAATGAGCCCGTAGGCAAGACTGCCATGCTATACACAAATTAGCTGTATTTTAATTTGGTGTTGAATAATTGGAGCAATCTTTTGAAGAATGGGAAACACTGATTCTTTTTTTTTTTGGATTGTTGATGCAGGTAAGGCAGGAAGATTCACTGTCAGTAGTTACAGTCATTACTCTCTGCAGAGGCAGAAAATAGTCTTTTGAATGAATGAATGTTAATATACTTAATAGACTTCTTTATGTCTACACAAAGCAAGCAAGAAACTTTCAGTTGTTTTTGAGTTTTAGCACTCAACAAGATTGTAGTGAAGTTCAGGTCAAAAGTGTCAAACCTGCGGGGTCCGAGTCATTCTCTGTTCGTTCACAAATGTTCACTACAAACTTTTATACACAGAGAAGAATAGAAATGGAATATGGGGAAAAAAAACAAGTAAACAGGACACACGTTTGTCAGCTGTCATGTGTGCAACCAGTCACATGGCAATGTGACAGTGTTTTTGTATTGTTTGCTTCCATAGAGAGATAACATGTTTGAATCAGAAAATGATTTTGTGGGGTTCCCTTTTAGTAAATTAGACACTGTTATGATAAACAGTATATTTTTAGTTAACCTCTCTTTATGTTCATTAATGCACCAAACAAAGAGAAATATCTGTGTTTGTCTTGTTTCTATTCTGTTTTACTTCTTTTGCTTTTAGTTTCTTGTGTGTATTTATTTGTGTCTTGATTTCACACCTGACAGATGATGCCTGAAATCAGGGTGAACTTGTTCGGTGCCAATCCCAACCGCAAATTCACGGATTAACGCTGGCTTTGAAGAGAGCGGCGAGGACATGGGTGGAATATATAAGGTGACCACAGACCATCATCATCATAGTGAGCAAGAACAAGACTGCACAATTACCTACCAATCATCGGGGTCAAAGAAAGCTCTGATTTACTTAATGGGACGCTACTGATGTGCATACATCTTTTTATTTTTGTACTAATGGACTGAATTCAACAAGTGCACTTATGACTATGTGTAAGTGCATTCTGTTTTACCTCTCCAGGGATGTCTAAAGGACTGCTTTAAATTGTGATGGCAAATATGTGTTCCCTCAGTTGTTTTGGGATGTCTGTTACTCTTAATGTGTTGATTAATGTAATCAAAGCTACATATTATTTAGGTCACCAAAGATACGCATTTTCCTTTCACATACTAACTCTGTGGGCCTTTTTGATCAGTCTGTTGCATGGTCTAAAGTGCACTTGCATTTATGGTGTGTCCAACTCCGCTTTTGCTAATTAATGGCACATAATGTATGCACAGTAAGGCACAAAGGGCAAAGGGGTTGTATTTAGTCCCTTGATTAATCATAGGTGTGTTTTGAGTGTAACATGAACTCAACCAATCAGTGTCATCTCCCTTTTCCCTAATAAAGCCTGGTGCGCCTGCAAGAGCAGCAAATAAAGTGGGACATTTAAGCAGCAAAACAAAAAACTGTAGTTATAAACTTGACAGAGAAAAGAGAACAAAACGTTTAGCTTCTGAAATAATCAATGTTGCGCTGCTCCTTGTGCGTAAATACCCACAAGTCTCTCTTAATGGTAAGGCGGACAGCAGCTCTGCTCTCTGCTACGTTCACATTTGAAAGAATGTGATTAATATTTCCTCATTAATGATGTATAACTTCACCCAACAGCAACCCAGCCACGTGCCCCTGCGTGTTTAACAAGCAAAGCATTAGCATGTTGTGAACCTGCCTACGTAGGCGCATCTTACTATCTCCATTATTCACCCTTTAAATGGCAGGAAAATGCTGCGCTATTTACTTTAGAGCAGGTTTTGTTGGACAATACTGCAATCCTTTTCTGCTGCCTCAAAATAGCAACCTGACCACACCTCATTTAAAACCCACACACCCATGGGCGCACAGATGAGCCCAAGTGCATTTACTACTAACACAAGATGGGCGCTATTTATCAAAATGACAGTTACAAATTTGACTGTGTGTATGTGTGCGTGTGTGTTTGTGTGTCTGTGTGGATGTTTACCATTGTTCTGAAAGCACTTAACATACAAAACCCAAAGAAATAAACGTGTGTGACACAGAGAAATCAGCATGTATGAGATATCTTTATTTACAGCTTGTAAACAAACAGTTTACTCAGGCTATGTTCACTCTACAATGAGGAAAATGTAGTAGCCTAGGTACACTAGCCACATCAAAATGTGTCTTGCATTAAAAATGTGTAAAAACAAAAAAAACAAAAAAAAAAAAAGCTTTTAGTGCCACCCAGTGGACTTCAGTAATGGCAAACAGTTGGCGAGACAAGGTGCCATACTCCCTCCATGGGTTCAACAAATTGAATTGTCCTCGCTAAGTTGGACTCAAGTACCAAATCAATGTTTCAACACCACCAATTCCACTGAATTTGTTTAAGACTTACAGTTTTGATGCTTTAGAAACTATCAGCAATGATAAGGCTTTAATTGCATGTTTTTTTTAGTTATTGTGCGCACATCATTTGAAGCAATGTATTTATATGTGTATCTAAGCAAGTAAAATGAGCCCTGGGCCAAAACCCTTCCAAGCTGTGAGGAGAATAGGAAGTCAAGGCTATGAGACAAAGGCCCAGCAGTCTAACCTGTGGCCTTTAGGCAGGAAGTGAGCTGTGTGTTAGGGTATATTGTACACTAATGCTGGGATTAAAGCATTACCATCAGATTAACAAATGACCTTACAGTTTCTGGCAGCCAGCACCTCCCAATCCACTGAGGGAATCCAAGATTACAACTCAGACCTCACGGGTGGAGTGGGAGGAACACATAACAGGGTAGGCAGAAGGACATTAAGCTTTTTTTTTTCAGAGAAACACATCAAACATTGTAATCTAAAGTAATTGGCATTTGAAGTCAGACCAAAATAGCCAGTTCAGACTCTGACATCAAACGTTATGCAATCTTATTTTCTGATAAAGATTGAAAAGGGGATTTGTCACTTACATAGGATGATGCACAGTTCTTCGTCATGACCACACAAATGGTCAGCTCGGTAGGCATTTAAGTTAGCAGCCTCAGACAACATGCAGCAGCTCTCGCTTAACAACCAGACAGAATAATCTGTCTCAGGTGAAAGGACAGCCCCGGACATATTGCAGCAAGCATGCCGGGAAAACCCAGACAACTTGAGACATACCCTCAGATTAGTCACACACATACACAGGACCCTGTTGAACTTCCAGACCCCTGTTAACAGCATGTACAAACCTAGAGAAACATGATTAGTGTGAACCCATCGGTTCACATATTAGTAAATAGAGCCTCTTCATTTCTCAGACCGTCCCGTCTTCCTTTGGTTAGCAGATTGTGGCCGTATTTCCCCTCTCTCTGTATTCACCATTCACCCAGTTGTGTCATTCATTCACTGCAGATTAAAGCAGCAGAGACAACACAACCACCACCACCACCAATGCCAAGCACTGCTATCCCAGCAAACCTAGCACCGTCTCCCCTACCCCGAGAAAGTAGACACCTTGTGCAATGCCAAATAGAGGGGCGATGACGAGAGCACGGCATGTTGCACCCTTCAGGAATGCTGATGGGCCCTCTCGCATCATGATGCGCCTGCAAACGCACACAGACGAGAAGAAAATGTTATAAGACTCTTTATGCTTCTGAACATTAAGGTAAGAAATATTTTCTTAGAGACTAAAAGCTTACCGTGTGCAGTCAACGATTCCTCTGTATGTGTCCTCTCCCTCACCTTTTTGCAAGGTCTGCAGGCGAGTCTTTATGACTGTACAAGGCATTTAAAACACAAAAGTGCACTGTTACTGCGTGTCAGTTAAAGCAAGCAGCAGCCACTGTGGCCACAAATGACAATCACAGCATAATGGCAAATGCTGACATGTAGTGTAATAATAACACGAGTAGCAATGTCCAAAACTCTGAGAATGAACTCAGTAATGTCACTCACGTGGAATTACAATGTCTGAAGTCGCTCCCTGTCTAATTTACACCACCATTCAATAGCTTGCTTGGGCACAGTCAGATGTCTGAAGGGACTACTAGGTCTTTTATACTTTTAGATTGTAGAAAGCCATTTTTACAAATGTTATTTTGTATGAAGGCTTTGTTTTGTACATAACAACAAAACACTGTACAATGGTTGAACCAAACTGACAACTGAAAGGGCAGAGAGAGACAAAGATAGCTCTGAGCAATATGTCAATAAGAGAAGAAGAAATCGCTGGTCACTTGCAAAAGAAACCTGAAGCTTGGCATCGAAATTTGTGCAGATTTAAAAAGGAAAAGGTTCCTGTTTCAGTGTCAAGTGCAAAACAATTCCCATAACAAGCTGGAATTACCAGGCAAACTGTTGCTTTAGCAAAGCTATTCCTAAAACCTCACACTAGAAAAAGAGGGTTAGTCTAGACTTAGCACTGACAAAGCTTCAAAACAAGCTTAGCTGACAAATCATAGTTTAAACCTATTCAATCCAACTACTGAGTTAACTGCTTAGGGCCCAAAGAAAAATAGGTTTCTAAAATATTTCGATCTCATTTGTATCATTGTGTTTGCATCATTTGTTTGCTTATGCTTTGTTGGGTTGAAAAGCAGATTTAAAACAGAACGGTATTTGTGTGTGTCCCAACAGTTGATGCACAACTGTCGGGACATCGACTGCTAATAATCCCATCAAATAGTGCATCCTATTTTGTAGGTTTGGAAATAACCATTGTGTGACAGCAGCTGGTAGTGATGGTAAGTGTCTGAAATCCCATTGTACTGCTCTCTATTGACTGACTATCTATTATATATCAGGAGCAAATGAGTGAACAGGAGAGTGACTTTGGGCACAGCCAGTATCTAAAATTTGCTAACCTTAGCTAACCTTAGCGACTACAAACCACTGGTCAGCTGGCTCTGCTACTGGTCATACCAGACCAAGTGAGCCTATAGTGCCAAAACTTTTGAGTGTGTTAAATTAACCAAGGTTGCATTTATTGCCTACTCACCATCCAGTGGTGTTACAGCCACAGCTGCCACTGAGCCTGCAGTGCAGCCTGCCAAAAACGACTGCCAGAATGGCGCCCGGGCCTGCACATCACCCACTTTTTCAAGGCCCAGTGCGTTTAGGTTGGCAAACAGTGGGAAGTAGATCATTGAGAAGGGGACATCCCTAAAAAATATGATTAAAAAATGATTAGATTAAATGAGATGAAAGAGAGGCAGTGTTAAAAGATTAGGAAAAACTAAAGACAAATTGGGAGAGGATGAAGTCATGGGAGGGAAGCAGGGAGAGAGAGAGTCATGGCCCCATTCAGCTGCAGTGTAGCAGCCAGACACAGCTGCAGGAATCTATTGATCAGTGTTGATTGAAAGAGGTGTCGGGAAATACAACAAACGCAGTGTGAGTTACGCAATGTAAAATCAAGTCATTAAAGCGGTGATGACAGAGTTGAGTGAAAGGAGAGACAGAGCTGGAGAACACAATCAACTGTGCACAGTAATTTACGCTATAGTTTTTGAAGATTTCCAGCATGAGAGCAAAGTATAAAAAGCATTAAGTCATGGACCAAGTGACACTATTTTAAAGAAGACAGTGAATTATAAGAGATACCCGAAAAAAGTCTGGTATAGCTCAAAACAGGTCAAAATGATAGAAAAAGACAGACATGAAGGTTTTCTCCTGCTGCTGAGTATTTATGTTGACAATATGTCACTACGATTTTTACATAAATGTACATTAAAAGTTAAGATGAGACAAGTAAAACAAGTTGCATGTATTGTAAGTATGTGGGTGAATGTGTGTTTATGTCTTTGTGTGTACAACCTCATTAAGGTGGCTCCTGCTCCCCTGTAGAGGCCTGCCAGCCCACGAGTCTTCAGCAGCTCCGCAGTGATGCCGGTGGCTGAGGGCCGAGGTCGAGGTTGCGCCGGTGGTGGGGCTACCAACGATGGAGCTGGACCTGATCCCGGAGCAGCAGCCTGAGCTGGAGTTCGAACAGGCCTCTGGGCAGCTGATGGTCAAACAAAGACTGTCCAAGGTTAGAAAACACATGCAGGTGGATGTAATCCTGCAGTCAACTCTGTCACTGAATAAAGGATGGGCAGCAAAAAGATGGATGCTGTATATGACTTTAAGGTATACTATACAGGATTGTTGGTTACTGCAAAAGTAAGAGTAAAAGCCACTCCCAGATTCACTCTCATTTGGTGTTTCTCCCTGGTATGTTTGTGTTTTTTCAGCATTGTATCTCTTGGATGCCTGCTGCTTATAGTCTGGCACCTGTTGCTACCTTCTTATAAAGCCTGATCTCATCTGAGCGCTCTGCGGGTACACACCCATAAACATCCTGAGCCAAGTACAGGAAATAAGAAGAAAATACAGACAGAGGGCAGAGTCTCTGCTGGAAAAAAATGCCATTTTCCGAGTAGATTTACCTGCAGAGTAGGACTTTCCAAGATTTCAGTGCATTGCATCATTTAACACTGACATGAATTTTGACACACTGCATCTCAGTATATGTACAAAAAAAACCTCACACTCAAAAAGCATTAAATACAGTGATCAACTTACCGAGCCTTCCTGCATCCTGCAGCTGGATCTTAAGCATCTCCATGGGAGTGGTGACGACCACCTGACACGTCCCAGCCCCACACCCTGCCAGTACCTCCCCCCACAGGGGCAAATGCCTGGAAACACAAGTGTGTCAATGACAGACATACAGCATTAATAAGAGTAAGATTCAGTAGCGACAGGCCATGAGTCAATATATTGATTTATGAGAGAAAATACACAAGCTTGAGATTGTGGCATGAGATGTAGCGTCATCATATGATGTATCACTGAGGGGCAAAAATCAATGTACCCGTCCTTAGACAGCTTCTGTCTGAAGACGTCATTGGCAGCCAGCTTGATGGCTTTTTCTGGCGTAACTAGAGTGAGGTTCACGGCTGCACCTGGAAAACACAAACAGGCTGATGACAGGGACACACGACAGTTTCCGCTGAGGTACACAAATAGAACCAACCTACATGGCAGCTTATGGCTCACTGCAGTGGGCTAATAGCAGCGCACTAGTTATTATGACAAAAAGATTGAGGGCTCTCGGGAGAAACAACAGCGTAGGTGGCTGGATTAAGCTTATAGTAAAGCACAGTTGTAGTGTTGTTTGTCAGGGGGGATTAGAAATGCAAAGAATACCTCTGTAGCATCCAAAATAGCCTTCCGAGCGTATCGTCTTGGCAAGGCAATCCAGCCTTTAAAAACAAAAGAAAGACAATTGACATTTTGTTTTTTATTAGAATGCATCATAACAGTGTTCATAATGTTTCACCATCAACTCTCCTGACAGACATTTAGGTCAAATCAATAGTGTTATGCTTCATTCATTAGCATCATCACCAGCCTGGCCTTCACCCGAATACACTACGACTCTGGACAGAGATCAGTGCTGTCCATGAACTGTATGAGCAATTCTTTTGAAATGTTTTTGTGGCAAAGAGCAGGAAAAAGTCCGACCCTGTGACTGGGCCTTGAAGGGAATCAGCTATTTTTTCCATCTATGACTCATAGTGGAAAACCGCAGTCTAGAAAACCGCTGGTTAACACAGAATGGCCATGCCCAGTCAGCCAGCAATATTGATGCCCACCAGATGTGTGTAGTTAGACATTGAGGGTCTTTTAAGGACAGTCAGTCTCTGTATTTCTTCATTTTGTGTCCGATTAAAACTCCACCACAAATGTAGGCTATAGAATATGAGGTCGTTATTGTGCATTGGTCTGAATATTTGTCTGGTTTTGGTGAAGTTGCCATGGCGGTACTTCAAAACACACACTCTACACAGCCTTTCCTCTAATATGATCCCATGATTTAGCTTTGTGCAAACTCACAACAACACTGGACCAAATATGGGGAGAGTGTGTTTAGCTGTGGTGCTCCACCCTCTGAGATTCAGGGGGAAAGTATGCAAGTGGCTTCATCTAAATAATTCTGACTTGTGGCTCTAATTAGAGAGTGCTGTGAACCAGAAAGCACATTAAACTTCTGTTCATCCTCAGCAGATATTTTGTAATGCTTTTACAGTTCATAGACTTTGACATTGGTTAGATATGCATACAGAAATAAATGACAATTAAAAAGTATAATTTAGGGATGCTTAGACAAAAAACCAGCAGTAATGTGAAAGCCCGTATCTTTGCATGTACAGTACAGTGTCAGATCGGTGACATAATCGGGTTAACTTGGGGCAGGGGGAGCCCTACTCACATTCCTTTGTAGACTTGGACGCCCTGCTGGTTCTGTAGGCGGGTCTTGGCCAGGTCAATAGGAAATACACATGTCACACCAACCAGGCCTGCCACGCCCCCATTAATCAGCTTAGCAGGGAGGCTGCTGAGGGATCAACATAAACACACGCACACATGCACGCACAGACCCATTTTAAAGGTATAGTCACCGACACAAGTCGTGCAAGTGGCACACCCATTCATGGACAGAGATACAAAAAGCAGGCCCACCAACAAAACATACACACATACACACACACACACACACAAGGAGTGTAAGAGCCCAACATAAACCCAACTGCTGCTTCCACTTAGTGAATACATTTTAAACCGTCTCCATTAAGCTAAACAAGCATGGTAAAGATACTTACCTAACTTTCTTCTCCGACATCCTGCTTGTGTTTGGGCTCCAGGCCCAGGCCTACTACTCCTCTCCTCTCCTCCTCCTCCTCCTCGTCCTCCTCCTCCTCCACCACCAACCCCTCCTCTTTGTCTTCCTTTTTCCTCTTCCTCTTCCCTCCCACACTTCAGCACGCAGGCCAAAGTTGTCACCGCAGCTCAACCCTCACCTGCCCACCCACGCCACAAATGCCGCCCACTGATTCTTCTAATGTGGCAGCAATGGACCGCCTTCTTCTTCTTCTTTGCCCTGGTACGGCAGGGGTGGACGCCCTTTTTTTTCTGTTGTGGCCAAAACCACTAATGTTGAATTTGTGTCTTCTGGCCAGCCTTTCTGCTTTGTTGTACCTCACATCAAAACCCAGTCTCTCTCATACAGTCTGGAAACACAAAACACATACAGTCAATATAGATTAAGTAATTCAAAAGAGCACATGTGAGACCAGTGTTTCTCTATTCAGTGACGCTTGTCTTTCTCAAAGCAAGTTGAAATAGACAGTTTTGATGGCAATAATAGGAGTGTATCTTTGTGATGGACTGACACACCTCACATTATCTGTAAGAGTCTCTAAAATCCAGATTTAGTCATTCATAAATGTGAATAGCTGCATATTATCCCAGGACTACCACACTGAGACAGAACATCTTGAGTCTCTCTAATCTGCCAGCTAAAAGGGATAAGAGTATTTGATCTAGCAAGGAGGGCAGAACTGAAAATGAGGGGCTTACCGGTATTCTTTCACCACAATTGGAATCCAGCATTTAACAAAGGGCTGAAAAGGAGATTTGAATGGAAGTTGGAAAATTTGTTTGACAAGTTTTTTTTTTGTCTTTATTTGTTCTGGAAGTACAATAGACTGTCGTCCAGGTAATACAAATTCTGCTGAACTCTTCTTGAGTTCAGAGATCTTGCATTCCCCTATTATGTTCTCTGTTTCTTCCATTCTTTTTCTGCCTTTTCCCCTCCTGACTTCCCCCTTCCCTCAGCTCCCTAATTAATCTCCCTCTTAATCTCTCCACCTCCCATCCGCCTCTATTTTTACCACTGTAAACCTCACTGCATCCTCGCATGTCCTCTCCTCTCAGAGTAACGGGAACAATCACTTTTTGCTTTGTTCATCTGCTCACCTTGATTTGTAATAATGTTCCATCTCCAAATATTTTTTTCTGTTTATATCCTCCTTTATACTCTGTCTTTTCCATTGCTGGATCCTAGTCACATTCTACACATGCCTTTCACTGAGCCTCTTTCTGTGAAACTTTCTTTCAGCTCAGCTCCATTCACGCACAGTAGTGACCCTGCCAAAACACAGACAAGGGTGCCTCACCCCAAGCCAACCTCCAGCTCTCAGACTTCTGTTTCCCCCAAGAAACTGCACTGGAACACCCCGATTGCACAGTTCACACAGCACAAGCCCCCCACGAGACAGCTTTCAAAGATAAAAACTCAATTTTCTTCCATCACAGAAATACAGCAGTGGGGAATGGGGGTCTTACCTCAGTCGGTGCATCCCACAGACAGGATCAAGCTGTCCACTTTCCTTTCACTTCAACAATGTGTGCAGCAATGGTAGTCAAGCGAGAGCGATCTGAGAGAGCCAGCCGCCACTCAGGGGCCGTTGCACAAACACCAGCATTGTCCTGCTGCCTAAGTCCCTCCCTCTCGTGGTGACTCCCTGTGTGACACAGCCCCGGCAACTCAGCTCTACACTAACACAACTCGACATAAACTCATGCTGCAGCCACAATACACGCAACAGACAGGCAGAGACAAATACCCACAGTTATAACTCAGTGTGCACTGTTTCTATGAATATATACGCAACATGAACAGCAACAGAAAAGGTTGGCCATCAGTAACTGGCTCTCTATTCAGCAGTCCCGACATTACATAATACCTCTAGGCACATTGAATTCCACAACTGTTCACAGACTTACAATTACTACCAAGGTAACAGTGATATGCTGATATCATTAACACTGTTTGGGACAGTTGATGTATTTATATTAAGAAATACGTAAAATTAGGTAATTAAAGGACAAGAAAGTTATGTAAGGACATCAACAAAATGAGCATGTGACTACCACAGCAACCACTCATTGCCCTTAAACTGTTTTTTTCATGAGCATTGATTGATGTATTGATTCCTGCTGATGGAAAAAACAATTACTATCAGTGATCATTTCACTCATCAGCAGGGAGAATCTTTCAGTAAAGATGATGTTTTATAGGTTGGCTTTCACATTTTACGCACTTAGTTGCACCATACACTTTCAAAAAAAGGTTATTTGTGGTGAAAATAGAAACCTACATGTTGCCTTCATTGTATCAATGTGTAGCTTTTACCTCGCTGAAAGAATGCCTGTCTGTGTTTCCAACAAAGAGGGTCAGCGGCCAGCACAGAATTGTCCATGCTACTCAATACACTCTACTTTAGCATACTAAATGTCCCAAGTAAGAGAACAACAGGACCCTTTAAAATGACACTAATAATGATTATAATATGCAAAATGTGGCCCTAAGTTAAAGGAACAGTTCATCCTAAAATTAAAAATACATATTTTGTCCTCTTACCTGTAGTGTTATATGTCAGTCTAGATTGTTTTGGTGTGAGTTGTGGAGTGTTGGAGATATCGACCGTGGAGACGTCTGCCTTCTCTCCAGTATAATTTAACTAGATAGCATACAACAGCAATGTCTCTTTTCAGAAATCATGACCTTCTAACTCAAGATAATCCACAGACATTGCTGTGAGCAGATTGATGTAGGAACTATTTTCTTTCAACTGTACCACCACACAGAAGGAGGCATGCATCTACTGCTAGATTACCTAGCAACCCCTGAGCAAGCTAACGCTACACCTTAGCCAAGGATTTTGGGTGAACTGTCCCTTTAATATATAATAAAAAGCACAACAGGTGGTCAGACCAACTTGCCCAGTCACATGTGCATACAATATATTATTTCGTATGTGATTATATCCAATGTGTTACAACACCACAAGAGCAAACTTTTGAAATGGAAATATCTACTGGGAAATTAAACTATAAATCTGGTAAATGGGGTGAGCTGAAGTGATAGAGAAAGCATTCAGATGCTTTACATAAAGGGAAACTACAGCCATTTTCAAAATTCTTACATGTTATCCTTATGGTCTAAGACAGTCCAAAAAATATTAGTAGACATGAACAACTCTCTCCCAAATCCAAAAGCTTGAATGCTAAAATTCAAATGTGTGATGATATAGGGTATAAAGTCTGGAGCTGCTCCATAAACAATGAATTAGGAAAGATGTTCTAGATCAGTGGTTCCCAACTGGTAGGTTGCAGACCAAAAGTGGGTCGTGGATCCATTCTGAATGGACCTAAAGTGACTTGCAAACATGTCTAGTTTGTATAAAATGTTCTCTATTTTGATTTACAGGGAATTTCCAGCACTTAGCTGCATTTTTAAGTGCTGTTTCCTGCTGTAAAGTGAGCGACTATAGGACGGCTACTTGACAGAGACTGAAAACTAGCTCGACGACATGGCCAGACCCAAGTGTAATGCTGAATGTATTAAACTGTGTGGACCTTAAACTGATGACTACAGAGAAATCTGAGTACTGTGGCTGAACCAGTTGGGAGCCACTGTTCTAGATGACACTGAGAGAACCCAGGGGAATGTTCTGAGTAAATGGGGACATTTCCTGTTTCATAACTGAGAACACTACAATAGAAGAAATCTCATTTGGGTATAAAAAAGAAAAAACAAACATTCTGTGGGTCCATAAAATCAGTACTGGAATTCTTAATTTAGATGGTGTTCCCCTTTAAGGAAAAGTATCAATTCCAAAGTATAAACATAAAAGTCCTAAATGTTTGTATATGTGTTGTTACTGATACGTTTAAGTAGGAGCAGCATTTTAATGTTGTAGCTGGTTGAGGGTAGGGATTTATAATGACATACTGTTAGATAATTTAATCAATAATAGCGCATCATACTTTATAAGTGATCTTATGTTTTATGAGTATAAATTTGCAGGTATAGTATATCAAAACTGTAGTAAAGTACCACTGCTCCATCCACCAGCCCTGTTTGTGCAAATAAACTAACTGCACAGCTTCTCTTTAGGGTTTTGTATTTGAATGGGCCACCAACACTACCAGGGTAACAGCACGTAATAAGGAGATCAACTCCATGCTCCTGAATCATAATAACAGCAGAAATTAAATTAATGAATTACTAATTACATACAGTAGGGAGCCTCCTTGATAAATAGGCTAAAGTTAGTTTGGATTCAAGGACAAAAACTTTTAATGGTAGTAAGCTAGTATTCAAAGATACAATACACTCGCACGTCAGCTGCCAACTTAACTCACTAAGTTCTGAGTTGGAAAGTTAGGTTTGCCCATGATGCTCGGTTTTACACCAAGAATCACTGGATTGCTTTGTTGCCTAGCAACATCACAACCTTACATAGGACTGACATTCCCAAGGGACCCAAAGAGTGCGCTGTCACTGCACTGACAGCACCGTGATGGCTGACCACACTTGCCCTGCCCTGCTGACAACTGCTGTCACCTTAGAGCACCACAGACCATGGAAGAGTGTGAAGAGTGGTTGACAATCCACATGGAATTTATTGCACTAATTAACACATTCAACCAGACTGGAGGGACTAATGAATGAATGACATCACGTGGAGTAGTCTGGATATCTTTTAGAAGAATGGAGTTCATTTCTTCAGTAGAGTTCAGAGACTTGTAGAGTATAAGCCAAAGTCATTTTCATTTTTGTCACCCATCTGTATTATCCGATGTGAGGGTCAAAAGGACAGAGGGATGTTGTATGCTGTAAAGCCCTGTGAGGCAAATTGTGATTTGTAATATTGGGCTTTATAAATAAAATTGATTGATTGATGATATTGCATCCATCTATATTACAAGGGTGCAGACATGATTGTAATTGTCAATAAACTTGAAAGCTGCTGCTCATTGATTTTTTTATGTTGAACTTCTAATGCTTTACACTCTACAGAGCACACTGTAATTCAAACCCACCATTACTTAGAAGGCAACATTGTTTCTTAGGAATTGTGTCACGATGGAAACAGCTTGGGTCTAAGTTTGATTGTTGCCAGTTGCTGACAGCAAACACTGCTACAAGCATTTATTATTCTCAGTGAAAACACTTACAGGTTTGGACTAGTGGACTGGCAGGACAAGTAAATCAGAAGGGGCTGTGTGTTTTGTGGCAAATTATTACCACTGGAGCTACTCAGCACATATTGCAAAACATACTTTATTTACACATATATAAAGTAGATGTAAGTATATGTATATATTGTATGCATAATGTATATATTTGGCTCCCAAGATGATGAACCCTGCCTGCCTTGGAGAAGTCATGAGCTTTCCTCTTGCACCACCTTTAGGCCAAAATGTTAACTTGCACACAGGACATTTACTGCATCTAATCATTTAATTTAATGACATTTAATATGCTGATCACACTTAATCTTCCAAGACGTTAACGCCTGATCTAAAGGGGCCCATAGCCTTTCCTCTAGTGCCACCCACAGGACCCAAATAACACTTTCTGCTCAACTACTCAAGTACCTCTCAAGTGTGTGTATTAAGGATGCAGCTAAAAGAGACCCCTAGAATGGGCTTTAAGTTTTGTACTTAGAGTCTTGGTATGTGAACAGGACGGGTTGTCTGCCTTTTATATGTATTTATTTAGGTTAGGTACATTATACTTTGTTTTTGAATGAGTGGCTGCCTCTCAGTGTCACTGGGCACTATGGCTGTCTCATAGCATGCACTTTTCACATTTTACGATAGGGGGAGCTCCTGTGTAGTGTATCGCTCAAAACTTCCAATGGTGGTATCGTTTACAAAATCGAAATATAGCTGACAATTTACTTTATGCTAAAATAATTATCTGAACGAGTCATTAGAATATAGGAGAGTTTGAAAACTCTTCTTGCTGTTGTTGTAAGTGAATCAAACGGTAATAGGTTCAAAAACGTTGACAATAGGAAATAGGAAATTAATTTACATTAGCCAGATAATGACAAATGCAATCTTATACCGCCACACGGAAAAAAATGGGGATGTCGCTTTAAAAAAAAGTTACCTGTTCATACCGGTGCATCTTTTCAGTTTTTTTATTCATTCACCATTCACAAGCATTCCCTTTAAACGGTGGCCGCACTATCAATTCAAAGGGGTACGGTTGACTATAGGTTTTGCTATTTTAACAAAAAAGACAAATCCAATTGCAAATATGTTTAATTATTACAAGTTGTTGTTGTGAAATATCAACATGCGCGACACTATAAAGACTACTTATGCTAACATATGATTAAACATATAGCGCTAAGAAGTGGCTCCCCCCTATTCTTCGTGCGGTGGTATCGCCCTTCCCATCTGTTCAGCTCCGGTGAGACTCTGATTGAAACAGATTGTAGCGCTCCCCGGGTCGCAATGGCAACTACACGAACGGGACGACACCAGCAACTTTTGTCGTATTTGTAATGTTACAGAGATATCATAAGTCGCTGAGGAAACTACTTTCTAATGTGAGAAACAAGCGTTACACAATTTATCTAGTCCGAAAATGTCCCAGGGATGTACCGTTTCTGTGGAAGAGATCCAGTCTTGGTGGGAAGTCCCCGCCATAGCCCACTTCTGCTCGCTGTTCAGGACAGCATTCAACCTTCCCGACTTTGAAATAGAGGTAAATTAAAATTGTTGTTGCTTGCAGTCACGCGAATGTCTTTAGTTGCGGAAAAGAAAAGTTGTTTGTGTCAGCTTTTTTGTCTAAGTGGTGTGTGGAGCGCATTTTGTGTGACTAGCTCTCTGGTTCACCAGCTTAGCACTGTCCTCGGAACTTCTCGTTCGTTAACGTTACTAAGGCAATCCTGTTAGGTAACGAGCTAGCCAGCTCGTTAGCACAGCTACGAGTTAGCTTTAACTGCTTATTGCTGGTCCTCAAAGTTGAAAATACCATAAGAGACTTAAGCTGGCTACAGCAGCCATAATACAGTTTTATGGTCCGATAGTCATAGTAACGTTACGTGTTACTTAGACGTTTAATGTACGGATGCTGTGATGTTTCAGAGTAACTTTAGATAAAGAAGCTCATGAAACAACCATGTGCCACTCGTTTGTTTTCAAT